GCTGAGCGAGGCTGGCAGTGCTGGTGGCTGGGAGGGCAGCCCCTGGGGACCTGCAACCTCATGGTGTGTGGCAGCGAGGGTGAGACTCACGAGGAAAACCCCGGATTTACAGACAGCAGCACCCCAAGGATGAGAAAAGGAACCTTTTTTCCACAGAACATGCACACTCAAGGAAAAAAAAAAAAAAAATCACAAGACATGCTGGGCAGGGCTCTAAGAAACAACTGCCACGTGCTTGAGGGCGAAAGGCTCACAGCTTTCATCCAAGCTTTCTCTTCCATGCAGCTGCCCACAGCTCCCACTGTCAGCAGCATTGCCAAGCTCTGTGCCATGACACTGAAGTAACTACCAAAATCTTTATGCCATGGAGAGCTATCCCTCTCCCCTGCCATACAGATAGAGCTGTGGCTCCACAGAGTACAGGACTTCAGCAGGGATGGAGCATCATACATTTCAGTGAACATCAAATTTAAAGGTCAAGTAGGTTTAATATTCTTGGGCCACTGCTCTATAAGCAAAGGAGTGGTATCTTCCCATTCCTCTCCCCAGCTGAAACATTTTAAGAAAACCCTTAAACTATTCTAAGTGACAAGACCACGATTTGATCTTACTATTGGTTTTTCTTTTTTTAGTGGCTATAGTTACAATCAAGTTAAGCTTCCCCCTCCCTTTTTGTTTCCTTCCTCCTTTTTTTTTTTTTTTTTTTTTTTTTTCAGATCAGCATCTCTCCATGACACCCTTTCCAGGAACTACATGTTAAATCCCTCATGAATCAAATCAACAAGAGCTCAGCTCTCATGGAAAACCAGACTGGTGTAGGCTCAGCTGGCAAGCAGAGAGGTCTGCAAGTGACAGGGACAATCTTGTGCCTTCGAACGGGCGTCACTGTGAAAGCCAAGCTTATAAGGCATCTGCACAACATTTAACAATTAGTCTTTTATTAACCAAATTTCAAAACAAAGCATTTATAGTCCATAGTGTGGACAGCATTAATACCACCATAATAGATCAGATAACCCGAATTCAGCTTTTTAAGCCATATCTTAAGAAGAAAGGAGAACAACAACATAAAAGGCACACTTATGACTTGCTGTGGCACGGGGCTCAGCATTGCCTCTCCGGGACCTGGCACGGAGAGCTGTTTGAAGGCAAGTTCAAGAGAACAACCACCTTTTTGCTGCGCTGGGGGCTGTGGGCAGCACGGCAGCCCACGCTCCTGCAGCGGAGAGCCTGTCCCCACCCTGAGAGGAGAAAGCCTTATCGGGGAGCCAGTGTCCCCATCAGCACATGCTGGAAACGGGAGATAGTATTTCACAAGGGGCATGAACACAGCAAAACCATCTCACCATGACAAAAGCATAGAGTCCCAGGGCTTCTGCCAGCAGAGCCCATGCTTTTGTAAGATCCGGTCCATCACCTGCTAGCTCGTGAATTCTCAATACCCAGAAGAGCCTCTGCGTATCTGTTCCTGCTGACATTAATGCAACTACCTGCACCAGTAAATACTGCATCAACTAATGGGTTTTGCAGGACTGAGATGTGATTCAGCAGCTCCAAGCATTCAGCCGGCACCGCTGGCTTCGCTCTGAGCATCCGCACGCCCCGACATCAGCACGGCCTGGCTTCAGCAAAGCAGCCCACGGGGGTGCTGCTATGACTTCTCCCTCCCTGCACATGCAAACAGATGTTGACTTTGAACCAGTAAAACCACAGCCATGTATTTTGTGAATTGTATCTTAGGTGTTTTTGAAGGAAAATAACTCTTCTTTTTTTAACACTGTTTGGAAAGGGTCTGAGTGAGGAACTTGTATTTTTATAGGCCCACAACTCTAGAGGTGCTGCAGCCTTCCCAGGCTAGCACACACTGATCACAGCTCCCAACCACGGGCCTAATGACCAATTTAAGATCATTGATTTTATGAGCTTTGGATGAGGTGGGTAACAAAGCACATTTGGCATGCAGTGCGTTGCTGTCTATGTGCTGCTATCGCTTCCTTATCGCACCCGCTAGACTTACCAGAAACAAGACATTAATAGAATGAGTGCCAGAAAGAAACAGTTCCTCCCCACCCCCTTTCTGCTTTTCAGCTTCATTACCCTCTGCAGTGAGTTTCACTGTTTCTTCATACAATCAGGTCCTCTTTTGCTGAAAAAAGTCTTTGTATAAAAATCGGAAAATTCCAGTAGTTTCTGCTTATTAAGGTCTTCTGTATACATTTCACTCCACTACAGATTTGATTATTTTTAATTAATATATATTTAAATTAAGCTTGTCCTAAGTTTGTAAACACTGTGTCAAACCAGTTCAAGTTTGCTCAGCTGAGAGCACAGGGAGTTCAAGAGACAGCACCCTGACAGTGTTCTGCAGGGCAGTAATACTCCCCAGTAAAATCATTTCCCAGTCGAGCCCTCCAGATAAACAAAACCTACAAAAACGAGCACATTTTTTTTTCTATCCACATCTAAATTTCTCCCAGGTCAGACTCTTCAGCGCACAAATCCCATCGTTCTTCACCACTCAGGGACAGCTGGCTCTTTGGAGCGAGTACACCATATGGTACATAGGGCAGGATACAGGCACAGGCGGATTATATCACCTCCCTGTGCTTCCAAGGGTGGAAAAGGGGCGGAAGACAGGCAGGAACTTCATTCAAACATCCTGAAACTCTCACAGCCATACAAACACTCAGACTTGCTCTAAACGATCCCTTTTGTGTGAAGAGCAAATTGACTTTAAAAGTGACTTGAAGAGGATGATTAAAATTGTTCACTGTGTCTTGGACACCTACATTCTCCTTGCACACAAGCCGGTCGGTTTGGGGCTTTTTTGGCAGCTGAGCAAAATGAGAGGGCAAACCTCTTCTTTCACATCTCCATCCTATATGCATCACCACCTAGGGTAGCGCTTCAGATTTAGAAAGACGAAGGAAGACAATATGCAAGTTAAATCTTAGCATGGCAGGAAACTACATCTCTCAAATAATGCTGCTGGCTATTATCTAAAATAAGGCTTTATAGTACGTGGCACCCAAATAATTTGGGATTCTTAAACAAACATAATCTTGCATGAGAACTCTTTAAAAGCCAACCATGTTGGAGAACAAGCGGAGAAGAGATCAAAGAAGATGGAGGATTAAAAGTTTACTAAGAAGAATAAAATAGGCCTTTGATATCTGTCACAACATTAACCTCCACTCTTGATCAACTGTCTTAAAACATCACAAAAGCAGACAGTTGCCTGAATGTACTCAGTATAGATGGCGTGAACTACTGGTTATACGTGTCATTTACTATAATCCACATTCTCATTTGGGTCAAAATGGGGATTAAAGGAGATGGAAGTAGTTGGAGATGAGGAGATGTTATTACCTGACAGGCTGACATCCTTAGCCTACAGTACATAAAATTACTCTGATAATTTTATTATTGGCGTGAGGCTGGAGTTAATAGCAGAGGCATTCAGATATGACAACCGACTTAAAAACCAAACCAACCACTTATAAAGTAGCTTTAACCTAATTTGAATGTTATACATCTTTAAACCAGAAAGGATTTAAAACAGTTATTCCTCTAACTTTTCATTTGTCTCGAAACCCTATTAACTTATTTTACAATGTTTACCTTCTCCTAATCATTGCATGAGAAACCTAAGCAAATAATTATCCAGGAGAAGAGTGGACGTTGCTATATACAAAGGGGTTTCCAATGCACAACACCAAGTAAACTGGTAACAGACACACTGATTACTACACTGGTGCTGGTTTTGGAAGGATAAATGTATTAGGGATTTAAATATGATTTTTATGAATTGCATTTTATTAGAAGATAGGCTCCTTCACCAAAGACTTCCACTCAATGGATACTTAGTGCTCAGTTTTTAGAGAGTTTGTATCAAATAGCATGACATATAACAAATAAATACAACAAATCCCAAGACACTGTAGTAAAACATCTCTGTCCTGACCTGCAACCAACCAGCTCCCTTCCTGGCCTTCTCTTCACTAACTACTTACGTCTCAGTTCTGAAAAGGCAATACCTTCTTCAGTGATCTAACAAGACCATCAAAACCCAGCTGCCCAACACCTAATTCACAGCCCCAGTTCCAAATGATTCACGTAACACAGGTCTAGGATCCCCAGCCTGCTCCTCCAGCCAGCCCCAGCCAAAAGGCTCCTCTCTCGGCTGTTGCACAGGAGACCGGAGTATGTCAGAGCCGGTAACAGCAAGAACACTGTTGTTTTGGAGTTCAAAGTACAGGGGGCATTTGGCCTCTAAACCCCCATCCCTTAACACAGACGTTAAACATTCATAGCACTGGGCATGTCCCCACTCCTAAGGAGCTGGGCTCCTCGCTCTAAGTTTCCTGCCGGCGAGGACCACAGGAATACAAATAATGTCACCCCTGGAGGTTTGTAAAACTTGGAGGCAGCCCCGAGACTGCTGACTTCCAAGAAATCTCCCTCCATTCATCGCACCGACAGCCTTGGCACGGCACACTCCTCCGCTTTACAAAAGCATCGCTCCGAAAACAGGCGATTTAAGGGG